AGATGCCCCCCCCCCTTCATTTCAAGACTTCTAGATACGCCACTGGATAGACGACGCCACGTCACTCCGCCTGCTGATTGTCGGTGGCTTAATCTTAAGAACAATGCGAGACAATTATTAAAGTGTATTAGTGGATTAGTGGTTACCGATATGAGCACCCGATAATATTGTCATAGGTGGCCTTTTTTAAAGTGCCCTCACAGGTTTACGCGCCATTAGGAAATGTGCATTCAACCTGTTTTTGGTTTCCCCCCATGTTTTTCAGCCAATGGTATTGTAATATTTTAATATTCTACATTAGCTGGCGATAGGCTAGTAGTTACATTAGCTGTGAGGCAATTTTAGTTACTACATTAGCTGTTGATCTTTCTACATAAGCTGTAACAACAAGCCTTATGCGTTTGATACGTGGGTTGCGAATGGTCTTGGAATGAAATGTGTCTGGTTCTGAATTAGCTACACGTTAAAAACACTTTGGGGAATAGGCTCTTAGATTAGTTCTGGATTATTATTATTATTATTCTTATTATTTTTTTTAATTTATTTTCCAGCAACACAAAATTAGAACACATAAAACGTAATGAGGCCCGGAGTGCTGAAAGGTAACTTATTAATACGCTCGTTTTGACAACGATAAAAGAACAGCAAATAGACGATTGCAGTCACAAATGCAAAGCAGGGAACAGTGAAATTACATTACTTTAATTTCACTGTTCCCTGATGCAAGGCATATGCTTGATAAAGAAATATGATTAAAATTCACTTTTATACATGAAAATTGGCGTATTACTTGCTTGAAATGTTAACGGACATTCTAATGTCAGGGAATGAGCTGTATCACATCAAATCAAAGATGAACTTCTGGATGTTTAGATGATAACATGCATTAATAGCTGACTGTGTGCTTAAATTTCTTTTTACTGGAATGAACGCTGGGAACATTCTGTTTAGTGTACATTAATATTTGATTCAGTCGAGCATAATTAAAAGATAGAAACGAAGATAAAATATGTAATTAATAAGTACCAGTGTAATGCATGTTAAACGTACATCTAGTAACATGATCTCCTTGACAAATTGCGCATAATCCTGCAACATTAATTTTCATCAATAATAATATGCAGAGAATTTTGTACAAAGACAACAACTCCTGATTTGGCAATATAATATTCTTGTGGAAATTTTTAGCAGCGCATGATGTTAGAAACATCGATGGGATATAAGAGAACACGATAGCGATTACATATAGTGTGATACATTACTGACTATCATCGGCTCATTGCCGAGAGACGTTGCGTCGTCGCCATCATCATATCACCATAACATCGTTGTCGTGTTCTAGTTGTGTTATTTATTATCATATCTCTTCATTCGGTACATATCTTAATCGTCATTTTCATTATCTTTGTTATCATCTTCATGATTTTTCATGATGATTAACTTTATCATCGTCAAAGTCATCACATGATAATTATATTACCATGATCATCGTGATCGTCAACGTCAATTTTACGTGTATATTACTGCACTAATACACATTTTTTAGCATTATAATAAATATATAATGCCAAATATTAAAAAAACCAGTTTATTTCTCAATGTATATATGTACTGTACACATTAATATGACATTTATCTTGATGAACGTTGTCTTTAAATTGTATATTGCAATTTTTGCGCTATAAATCGTAGAAAAATGTTAATTTTCAACTTAATAGATAATCGACCAGTACAATTGCAAAATTAAAAAACTTGTAAGAAATACGAAACCTCCAAAACGGTATGTCATTGAGCTGTAAAGCACATGCAAAATGATAATTTATATAATACATATGAGATTCACAATTTCAGAAAATGTAATGATCTGCATCACCATAATATCGATCTCTGTCTTCATTATCATCATCATCCTCGTCGTCGTCGTCATCATCATCATCATCATCATCATCATCGCCGCCATTGTCGTCTTTGTCATTTTCATCATCATCGTCGTCGTTATCGCCTTCGTCATCATCTGCCTCGTTGTTAATTATAATTATAATAATATACAGTACATCATAATCTTGATGACGTCATCACCTTTATCACCTTTAACATCTATAGTCGTCATTATCAGCACCTCTTCCTGAACATCCTTTTCATCATCAGTATCATCACCATAAAGTTGTAGGTATTTCAATACAACAACATCATCATCATCATCATTTCATCGTCATAATTATCATCACCATGATCGTGCCATCATCCATATTATCATTAGTA